TTTGATAGGGTAAACACACGAGTTTACGCCACTGAGCACAAGACGTTGCCATTCGAGGTCCAAGTTGCCAAACTGGGCGGCCGCCGCCCAAAGTTTGGCTCTTTTGAACCTGGAACAGAACAAAAAATAAGTCTTAATGCCATTGTTGGAGTTTCCCTTAGGGACCGCGCCGGTCGGGTTGTCCTTCGCGAGCCCCTGGCGGCAGTGACGCCGCATAAAGCGGGCGTCAGGGGCCTCGTCCAAGAAAAGTGAAACACAAGGGCCGGCTAAGCGTTACTGCTGGTGAGGCCTGGGCTGCACGGACAATGTGGAGAGGGCAGGGTTCCTGATGAGGCAACATGTCTAAAGCCCAAGTTCCAAAAATTAAAAAGATTCGTCTACGTGACTGCCTCTGAGCCCGCGACCGGCTGTGGCCAGGCCACTGCGCTCGTGCCCTGGCGGCGCGACGGCTGAAAGGAACGACTTTTTTCCTTCTTCCCAGTCACTGAGCCGGTTGCTTTGGGATGGCTGCCGCCGAAGTTGCCTGGAGAGGCCTTAAAAACAGCGACTGAAACTTATATTTCCACATCGAAAAAGTCGTTGGCGCAATGCTTGGGCGACAAAGCTGGGACGCCCCACGTGCCCACACGAAGAGTTTGGTCGAGAAGGCGCCTAAGCTCAAGCAAACAAGCCTAGGCGATTAAAAACTTGGAAAAGTGTGGCGCTAACATCTATAGTAGAATCTAATGGCTGCACGCCGTCTACCTTCGTGCTGGGCATCGGGCTGTCTTCCGTTTCTTTTTCTTTGCCTACGATGAATTCTCGCGCACCGTCGAGTGGAAACAGTGCCGTGGGAATTTGAGGCTGAGGCTGATGTCTTGTCTGGGCGGCGCCGCTCCTCCAAACAAAGGAATGTAGACAGGTTCAAAATGTGGGTCATCAAGATTACATCCTAGCACCTGCCTCGTAAAACGCGGTGTACGCGTACCATGGGATCACCTGGAGTAAGACGAGGCTGCCACCAACTGAACAACACACTTTTTTGGGCTGAGGTTGCAGCGCGCGCCCAAGGTCTCTTCTTCGCTTTGCTGCGACGAGTGACCTTTGGGACCTTCCACAAGCAAGCCAAAACCTAAATGACAAACTGAATAGACAAGCTAGCTAGCAAACTCAAAACACTCAGCAAATGACAAGCCCAATGAATCAACGAACAAACACAAATGTGCCTCCACACCGGATTGTAGCCAATCCAAAGTGGCCTGCAGCCGAGTACGACGGCGACTCTCACCCCGAAACCGTTTTCGTCCCAAGCCTCATCCAGGTCCTCTGCGGCGTCCGGTTTCTCCTTACAAAAATGATTAAAAGGTGTCGTGACACAATGGCCTGAAAGCTCTAAGTGCCCAGCTTCTGTCCCGAACATCTTCGCGAGTTCCTGCCATCTGACGAATGACTTACCTACTACCTATAACCTGCCGCTTTCGACCAGCAAAACCGCTCCTCCATGCTCCACATTTCCTCGTCTGTGATGTCACTCCAAGAAACAGCCATCGCGACGGACAAAGAAGGAAACGGAGGGTGGGAAAAAGCGAGACAATTGTCGTAGAATAGTGGAAATATGTTGCTATGTTGCGGTGCTAGTTGTGTGCCTCTGTGGACATGTGTGTGTAGTGTGGAATGTGGGTGTGGGTGTGTGACGCGTGCCATGGGCATGCATGTCGTCGAGTCAAGCTGGTTCAAGCCGAGGCTGCAAAGAGACACGAAATGACCATGTCCACAGCTACTTTCGACGCTCTTTTCTGTGTGTTTAGTTTTCTTGCTTCTGAAGCACAAACATGTTCCTCAAAAGGTTCTCCTATATACAGTTGAATCTTTCCGGAAGCCGAAATGGAACCCAGTCAACTTGTGTCCCTCAGCAATATGCACGTGTCCGGTCATGTGCCTTTGACCTCAGTGCCTCACCCCAATCTGACTTGCGTTTGGACATCCGAGGGGCTTCTTGCATCACAGGACCTTGGAAGCGACGCGAGTTGTATGAAGCGCATGAAGCCCCGTATAAGGCATCTACCTCTGAAGTAGAGCCCCTCTCCTAATCTGATGTGCGCAGAATGATACCTGAGGCCACTTGGCAAAACTAGACAGTTGACTGGGAATGATCAAACAAACTACCAGCCGCCGCCGAGACATAGAAAAGGTGTGCCTTTGTTGATTGATTACCAGGCGCCCTGAAAACGCAAGCGAGGACATGCAAAGCAGCTTGCATGTGCTTAGTGCCGAGTATTTTGCAAACGCGTCATCAAATTTTCAACACCAACCTGGAGCAGCAAAAACAACACCCTGCAAATGCTAGCATAACTGCTGCTTGAGTTCCTTGTGACAGGTGACCTTCAAAGATCTATCTGGTGATTGCGGGCAGGGAAGACCTAATGATTCTTTAATGATCTTCCGAATCATGTTATTCTGGAGGCATCGGACAAGCCTCTCAAGCCTCTGAATTTACATTGTGAGCCCTGAGATATCATGTTGTGCTAGGTGTTCGATATAGGGGTCACTTGCTTATTACATTATGCCCAACCATGTCCAACCTTCACTTCCAAAATCTCAAGAGTGAAACCCTTGCAAAAACCTTCCACACCTTACCATGAATGAAGTTCATTCCTGAGGTTCCAAACAACCTGTCCAAATAGGACTCGCCAATGATTATGGCTCCAATTCGGCGCCAATTACATAGGGTCCTACTATTAAAGGGACTAACGGGGGGGGGACAGTGTGGAAAGGAAACCCTTTTCAGTCCTCAGCAAGCCGTCTCCAATGATGCCCCTTTGGGAAGAATAATGGTGTCAGTTTGGCATACCAAAGAGTTTCCTACTCCTATGTATTATTAGTGACTTAGTGGTGCACCACGGTATATTGTCTTTTTCATACACCCACCAAGGCCGTAGGTCGGACCCAGTCTATAGCCCTCGGACACCGCCGTTCGCCACCCGTTTCGGTCTGCGCGGCGAGGCATCGCCGGCTTGGCCGTGAAGAGCGGAGAGGGCGGCTGCCAGGGCTGACCTGGACCCACTGCGAGGTCCCACCAAGTCAACAAAGGTGAAGTAACCTTATAGGACTCTACCAGGGTACCTATGGGATAGTCTATAAGGTTCTTCAACCTCTGTTGGAAGACAACCCCCCTGAAAATTAGTTGTTGCTGAGCCCAGAACTCAACCCAAATGAACAGAAATGAAGAACGGACAGCAGTTTATTGCTTGCATGTACTGTACTTATTACTAAAGGTTCCCG